TTCGTTGCGATCGCGAATTGTAAATTTTCAAGGCTAGTTTTGTTTTTAAATAAAAATTTTTGAAATTTTCATATGTTGCAAGATATTTCGCATAAGAACGCGTACCCCCGCTAAACTGTTCCCGTACCCCTGGGGGTACGCGTACCACGATTTGGGAAACACTGCCATATATGTTCTCATTCCGATGAGACTTTTCCGCATACGCAAAAGTTGGAAGTAGTGGGAACGTTGATTAAATGAATTAATTTCATCCAATCAGAGTGCGTAGTGTGTACCCAATCAGAATGTGCGTTTAATTAAATGAATTAATTTTACCCAATCAGAATGTGTAATTGTATCAGAGTTTTACCGTACTGGAAAGATATCTTGAGCAAATGATCAAGCTTCAAGCGCGCCTAATACTGCACAAATAAGAAAGCCAGAACCTGTCATTCTAAATTAAAGCAACAACAAGCAACCAATCAATTTTCTGTTTAATTTTTTGGGTCTGTTTCGAACGTTATCTTTCGAATAGTGTCTTAGGAAGAAGTATGTCGTCTAATTTTACCGAAAAACCAATTGTTGAAGTTTTAAAAATCACAAACCAGCAACATTCTGGACGCAAACCTGAATTTCATGTCCCTAAACCATTAATTTGCTTTGTTTGCGGAACTGATTTTGTGACTGACAAGGATTTGCAGCAACATTATGTCGAGCATATTGCTGTAAAACCATATAAATGCAAGTTATGTGATAAAAGTTTTATTTCTGAGCGAAATCTCAAGAAGCACGAAACCAAACATGCGGGATTGAAGCCATATCAATGTGATATATGCAAAAGGAAATTTTCTAAGAAATTAAAATACGAGATTCAGTGTCGGACACACGGCACTGAGCAGCTTTGTGTTTCTTGTTGTGAATTATTTTCTTTAAACGATGTTGATGATTTTATAGGTTCAGTTCGTCATGACTGTGACACCTGTAATCAACGGTATTTATTCAAACCTGTTATTGAAGTTAGTAATGGACATCTGAAGCCATATCTATGTACAATTTGTGGGAAGAGCTTCAGCAACAGAATTAGCTTAACCAATCATTCAATTTCACATAAAGAGCAGAGGAAACGATTTTCTTGCAATATTTGTTATGAAGCGTTTCCTACATTGCATGGTTTAGATAAGCATGAAAAAAGTCACATACAAATCAATGTTCTCCCAGATGGCTCTTGCTACCCATGTAAATTGTGCTATGAATCTTTTACTTTTCAGCATCAGCTGGAATCACATTATAATGATACTCACTTTGGGGAATTTAAGTATGAATGTAATATTTGCAAAAGAAATGTCTTCTTACACCATACTCTTCACGCTCATGTTAAGACTCATGTTGAGCAAAAACATTTTAAATGCAGATTTTGTCCAAGAACATTTACATCTAAAACATATTTGAGAATTCATCATTTGGTTCATGATAGCACTCGTAAATTCGAGTGTGGTGCATGCGGAAAGAGATTCTCCACAAACGTTAGATTGAAGCTGCATGGTATAGTGCACATGGATAAAAAACCATTTAAATGTGTTGACTGTCACTTTGGTTTTAATAACAAAACATACCTAAAGCGACACTATCTGAAGCATATTGAAGAAAAGCCTTACAAATGTGATAAATGCCCGATTTCATTTACGCGTAAAATTGCTCTCCAAAAACATGAATTTGCTCATAAGAGTTCTGATGAGTATAAATGTCAAAATTGTTTTGTAAATTTTATAAGTTTTCAAGATTTACATAATCACTATCGAGTTAAACATCCTCGTACAAAGCCTTACTACATCTGTTATATATGTCTCAAGGTTATTCGCCATAAACAAAGTTTTTTCAGGCATTGCAGGTTGCACACTAATGATAGACCTTTTAAATGTAAATACTGTGATAAAAAATACACTCTGAAATATGATCTTCATAAGCATCATAAAAATTGTCATCCTAATCTTAAAATAAAATTTTAAATTAGATCCAAAGTTGGCAGTATGATAATTTTAGTCTAGTTCATAAAACTGGCTGCTAAAAAAAATTATGTGTCTCATATCATGAGATTTTCTTGTGTTGCTATTTTACACTTTTATTTTTCAAGTTATCTATTTTTTTCCTATTAATTTCTATCAAAAATTCTTTTTTAATTGGTTTTCAAAAATAATTTGATGTAGCCCATAATACACTTGTTAATTATATATAAGTTTGTCAATTTTGTAAAAAAAATATTTAGATGGAAGAAACTTTTTTATTTATTATCAAACATAGTGTAAATTTTCAATGCATTTCCTTTTCAAGATTAAGTTTTATCATCTAAGTTTGTAAAAGAATTGGAATTATTTGTTACACAGGGAAATATGTTTTTCAATTTAGAAATCTTATCTCTTATTTTAAATTTAATAGTGTATTTCAAGGAATTTTAAATAAAAGTAAATAATTCTAATTTAAATAGGATGTTTTTATTCTACCTGTATTATGTATATATTGATATTTAGACACATTTATTTAAAAATAAATTTACGTGCATTTTATTCTTACGTACGTTACATACCTTATCTCAGTGTCTTTGTTTATCACTGAATCTTTGTATTTTTTTGTTTTTGTTTGTATATTTGTGTTTGTGAAGACACATTTTAAAAGAAATTTGAGAATTTCGTCTTAATTTTTAAATGAGTAAGGTTTCTTATAGATATATGTTTATATTCAGGCAACATTACACTTATTTAATTTTGGGATGAGAAAAAAAAAAGAATTCCATATTAGATAGACCTGGACTAAACTGATATGGTGGATAAAATAGAGATCTTGGCACTTTTAACTAAACTTCTGCTGTCATTTATCAGAAATCACTTGAAACTATTTGCAGACAGTCCCTTTGGAGTATAAGGCAAAATTAAGAAATTTCGCTATTGGTCAGTTTTAGCATTTTTAACTGAGGCCACTTTTTCAAAAATTTCAATTTTTAAAAGATTTTAAAAACTGCTGATATTTATAATTTTTATTCTTATCTCGCCCCGCCCTATTTTAGGGCATACGAGAGTTGATACATACACAAATAATACATTAAAAATACGTGAATCTCTAAAAGTTACATCAACAGTGAATATAAAAATCTGAATAGCTGATATTTATAATGTAATTTCTATCAAAGAATTTCTCAAAATAGGTTATACATCACAAGATTTATTTCTAAAATAAAGAAATTTTTAAAAAAACAAGCGTAATAGTTTCGAAGTTATAATTGTTTTATGTATAAAGAGTACAAATATGTATCTATTTACTTATCTGATATTGCTATCTAAACAAGTGAGACATTGTTAAACTCACAAAAAAATTAACTTTTGAAATATTAGTCCTTTTAATTTGTGTTTGATATCATTTGATTAAACACAAAATATATATGATACAATACTTCACTTGTCTGTATAGCAATATAAGATGCATAGATAAGTGTAAGTTAAAAATGTACGTTTTGTGCATAAAACACTTATAACTAAACTATTAGTCCGATTATCTCAAAATTAGTCCCATTCAACTTAGCCTGTAAAATTACTTTGGAAATATTTCTTTCATGTTCAGATAGCTGTGTAAAGCAGAGTGTGCATAAGTATATGTCTTTATACAAAAAAACTCAAACAATGTTTTAACTGTTTTTTCTATTGACTTGTGTATAGTTTTATTCGATTCAGAGTGGAAAAAAAAAATAAATATGTAGCAAACTATGTTTAAATGTTTTAAACTGCACTGTCAGATTTGTAAATAGGTACAAATACGAAATTGTACTTTTTGTTCATTAAAAGCCTTATTACTTTCAAACTAATAGTTGGATTGTTTCGGGACTGGTCTCATTGAATTCAGCATGAGAAAAATGCCTCGAGAAATAATTTAATTCTCTTTTAATCACACTCAGAAAGAAAAAAAGGGAAAATAGAAGAGTTTTTAGGTATCCATTATAATAACTTTCAGTATAGCTTTCTATGGGGGGAAAAAATAGAAGAAGTAGAATTTTATCTAGACTTTTAGTAAATATTATGTTTATATATTGATTAAAATATAAATAATTGTGTTTTGTTCATTAGATATTACCTGATATCATGGGTGCAAGTCTTCCGTCCCCAAGACGGATTTCCGTCTTTCGAAAATGTCCGCGGACGGAAGAAAGACGGAAACAAGACTGACTCGAAGACGGAAATGTTTTTTTCTGTCCCTAAAAATATTTTTTAGGTCTACGTTATTGGTCTACTTTCTTATGTCCTGTTGTTATTTTATCAAAAGACAGATGAATAAATATTTTTTGTACAGTACTTAAACTTGATGTATTATGGTAAAGCTTTCTTAGATAGTTTGCATATGTCGAGGGGGTATTGTGTATGTTAGGTATTTCAGTCAAAAAATTTTCAGTCTTGGTCTTTTTTCCAACTTGCACCCATGCCTGATATCTAAAATACAATAATAATTAAAATTTAAAATAAAAATGTGTTTATTAAAATCTTTTATATAAGTAGAGATTTAAAATGATGTAATATATAGAAACGATTAGTAATATATTTGAAAATGTTTACTTATATTTGTTCATATAGTCACTGCATTATACCTAGGCACTATTTTTATAAATATCTAAAGCTGTTTGAAAGTTACTAGAGTGGTTCCAGACGTTAGTGGGTACCCTACATGAAATTTTGGATTCTCAATTGCGTTTTCCAGCTAGCGAGTTGGTAAAAAGTTAAAACTTGATCGTGTAAAAGTGTTTGAAAATTCCACATTTTTATGTAATTTATATTATGATGCATCAATATTTTAATAAAGAGAGTTAAGAGTGTTTTTCATTGGAAGGTACATGGAAAAATGTACCTCACATGTACATAACATTTACATAGCAATGTAAAAAGCATACATAAGTACATGTAAAAAGCACTTTTTATCCACAAAAGCCTTTTAAATTTGGAACTACTCATTCTATTGACTTGTGCATAATCTCATTAGATACTTTTTTTAATTGAGTAGATTCAAATATTTTTAAAACCTCTTTAAACATAATAATTTTATAAATGCCATTTTTAATTTGTAAACAATTTTTAAGCTGACTTTTTATTAACTTTTTATTCATAACACTCTTTATTGAAATATTGATGCATCATAATATAAACTACATCAAAATGGGGAATTTTCAATCACTTTTACACGTTCATGAAGGATAACTTAGATCTTTAATTTAATTAAATTTTAATTTTTTTTAATAAAGATATATTCTTCTGTTAACTTTCTTTACGGTTATGGACATGTATAATGCAAAAGCATGCTTTTCACATTGTTCTATTTAATGTTTTCACAATTCATTCAACCACAATCTATTTCGACCTACCGTCGGTCCATAGCTTATGAAACCGCCAATCATTTTACATATTTGATGAAATACTTGCGAGTCCGTGTGTGCATCTACTGAGCTGAGTTCAGTGAGATTCTAGCACTCTCATGTGCAACTATGCTGCATTTTGCAAGATTTCAGGCTTCATTTTCCATCCTCTGATATTGAACCAAAAAATCTATTGATCATTTTATAATGGCTAATATAATCAAGAAAAAAGTTCTTTGTCAGAAACTAGTTATTTTATCATGATCATGTAAAGTCAATTATTTTGTTAATATAGTACTTAACAATGTTTTTTGAGTATTTAAAAGGTGCTTATTTTTTGTTGTAAGATTTGGCTACGCACCCTGTTAAAGTTTTTAAAGTAAAAGTTTTACTCAATATGGAAAGAAGAGTGTGCTGCAGAAAAACCACTTATTTGACATTGAATAGATTGAGTTCCGTATTTTCCAGGGAGGATCATTTCTTTAGAGATTTATGGTTCAGGAATCCATCCAACAAAACAAGCCATTATATTCTCAAATAGTGAATGTAAGAGAATAAAAGGAGGAGGAATGACGTTGGAGAATGACTAATTGTCTGTCAAACGTACTCTTAATATAATGTGAATTTGTTGATACAAATCTTAAAATGTTTTCTGTAGAAAATACTTTGGTTTCGTTTCAAAATATAGTTTTAAGTTTTCTATTTATATCTCGACAGATCCTTGGAGAAATTGGGACTATTTTGAATCGAGACCAAAAGGTCGATTTCCAAGATAATTACCAAGATCTTATTAATTTTTAAGTTAACAATAAGGAACCTATTTACACTTTTACAACGTTTTACATATTTAGTTCTTTGATATATAATTAAAATACTTATTAAGAGATTTTCCTGAGAAACTAAAGAAAGACTTTTTTTCTCTAAAATATTTGCTAATAGCTGGCTCAATAACTTCTTTATTTATCTGATTTTTCTAAACGTTTGTTATTGTTGTATTTAGCACTTCTCGTAGGTTTTTTATTAATTTATATTTAGTTTTATGTACCAATATTAGTCTGGGAAGAGATTATCTAAATTTTTCCTAAAAGTTATTCGAAAGGAATAATAATTTAATATGGTGACTGTCTGTTATTTTAATAATGTTTTTTATACGAGGTCATTTTTAATTTCTTTTTAAACCCCTATTAAGATAGTATATTTCATAAACAATTTATTACGAGTAAGCTTGTTGCTTCGTCATGAAAACTGTCATCATGTGCAAAGGGTGCGTAGCGTTTGTAAAAAGTACTTAAAGGTGCTTTTTGGGGGATTTCGTTTTTAAAAGCTTTTAAATGTGCTTTTTTCAGCTGGCGTTTTTAAAAAGTGCTTTTTTTCCGAATAATTTTTTTTTCCCTTCAGTGATATCTGGTGGATCCCATGCATTTCACGAAAAATGGGGAGTTTGCTACGTAATCATTCACGCGGACTTCATGTCGTACCCACGTTATGACTTGCGCATGCGCGCACCGAAATCCGAGTGCTCCAATTCGGATAGAGAATATCAGATCCTTATGAAATCTTTTTCTTTTTAATTTATTTTAATTTTGTTCTTGTTTATTTTATTTTACTTCTAACACTTTTTTTGACGTAGGGGGTAAGGGTACTTTTGCTCTGAGTGCAGGGTCAAGTTGAATTCACTCGGTGATGTGGGAAAGTACTGATTGTTTCGATTTACGCCCGTTTCTTTTTTTTTTTTTAACGCTAAAACTGTTTATAAAAAGTTTTTGTTTTTCAATAATATCATTGATTGAATATGAATTTCTTGAGTGCTTGAAAATTTTTGTAAAGTGCTTGAAAAGTTTTTAAAAAGTGCTTATTTTTGATTCAAAGATTTGGCTACGCACCCTGTGTGCAATTTTAGATACAGCTAGTGAATAAAGTAAGAATGAAAGGATACCAATCAATGAATAGTTACATAATCAGCCATAAATAGCAGTGAATTTGTTGGTGAATCATTGAAAGACATTTTAGTGAATAGTCGGATCAGTGAAAGAGTTTATAAATGCATAAAAATCTTTTTAAGCCTGTAAATTGTTTTACAGCATTGGACAAAATTTTTTTTTTTTTTTTTAAATTTTAGACAAAATAACGACAGTTTGAAAACAACTTGCAACAGTAATGTATATTTCGAAAATAAAATAGCAAAACAACTGGTTTTGAAGAGTTTAAAATTGCGTGCGACTGCTAAAGCAAAAAAAAAATAAATAAATAGATTTTAGTGTTTATGCTTATATATGCTCATTAAAAATATTACCTATAGTAAATATTAATTCTAGAATACTTGAGGTGATATTCTCATTAGTTTAAACTTACGGTTTCCTTTTTTTTTAAACATTGAATGCATGAATTGTAATTTATTATGTTCACATGTTTCCCAAATCAACATTTAGGATTGATACTAATTTTATGATTATTTTATCAAAATCATTAACTCTTTGCTTAGTAGAGGTAGACATATTCCTTTCACCCACAAGTTATCTTGCTCAGATCTACATTTGAAGATCTCAAATTTTTGACGATTTTGCCTTTAGATTAAATCAAGATCATCCATTTAGTAAATTTTTTTTTGAGAAAAAAAGAAATAAAAACATCTAGCTGATCTTTTTTTTAAAAAGAAAAAAAAAAGAAAATGGATTCAATCTTTTAAATATACACCGAAGAGCTATTACACAGCGTGGCAGCACGAATTTAGTTTGCCAAGTAGGACCACAAATGCTCTATTGGATTAAGGTCAGGTGAATTTTGGGGCCAAGACATAACTTGAAAGTCACTGGAATGTTCCTCAACGATTTGACCCTTATGACATGGTGCATTATCCTGTTGGTAAACACCATCCCCTGCAGGAAAAACTGTTGCCATGAATGGGTGAACCTGGTCTGTAACTATGCTCAAGTAGCTTACAGAGACGTCAGGGATTGTTCTATGAGGATTATGGGTCCTAATGTGCCCCATAAAAACATTGTTCCCGAGCGAGAAACCAGGAAAACCTAGGCGAGCCCAATGTTATAGATGGAGGGTGGTCATAATGTAATGGCTCTTCGGTGTATACTAGAAATGCCCAATTTTAGAGATTAATTAACATTGACAGTGAAATTTCATCTTATTAAATATTTTGTATTACTTTAAAATTTTAATTGTAAAATTTTTAAATGAAGGCGACTTTGCCACACATCACTGGTCATTATGGTGATCGTCTTGGCCATTAATCTTTCACTTCTTGAGGATTTGTGTGAGTTTCGAAATGTAGCGGCGCAGCTATTTTAATTAAAATTATTTTTTTCTAACTTAAATAAGTTTGTATAAGAATATTTATTTACAGTCTTAAGATTTATAAGTTTTTTTTTTTTTTTTTTTTTTTTTTTTTTTTTTTNTTTTATATTTTTTTTTTTTTTTTTTTTTAAATTCATATTCAAACGTATTTATTAAAGGCGTAATCATATTCATTATAGAACGATAACAGGCCATAATGATTTTGTAAGTTCATAAAGAATTTATTTGTATTTTAAACTAATGGTCTTTTTCCCTCATAGCTTGTTTAGAATTCTGCTGTGTGACCAAAAATTTCACTATCATCAAGAGATCTAGAAAATAATGCTAAATGAAAATATTCTTTAATTAGAATTCAAACAGCTATTCGAATTATATAAAACAATAGAGGACCGAAATAAAAGAAAAAGCCTCGTGGAAGCAAATAAGTGGAATAAACGTGTTTTTCTTTTTACTCTTTAGGATTACGCAACTTGTTTTCAAAAATATCCCTTTCATCTAACGATTAGGATTAAATATTTTTATTAACTTTCAAACGATAATGATAAAATATTTTTAATTAATATTCAAACGACTACTTGAATTTTAACGCATCAGATAAAAAAAAATTCTTAAGCGGATGTAAAGCAATCACAATAGCACAGTGGCGATCATTCTTATTTTCTTAATATCATTTAGCAGTAAATTGAGCTCATTTTGTGTGAGAGAGCGTGTCCCCCTTTTCAAGTTTCCGTCTAAAATGTCACGTGATTTACTGCGATATCCCGCTGTTCCGTGGAACAAAACCACTTCATTCTGTTATAGAGCGAAGAATGATTTTAGTTTTCAGCAGTTGAGAGCTATCTTCGTTTTTTTTTTCTTTTTCTTCAGCTCTACTTGTTTTTGTTTTTAATTAACAAGTGGCGTTATTGTTTTGAGAGATTGATGCAGCGTGTGCGTTAACTATTTGTGATATTTGATGCTTATGATAAAAAGGGAGTTTCAGTGGTGGTAGGGATATGCATTTATTAATCGTTTGTCATGATGTTACCTGTAAATTGGAATAAAATTGGAGAGGAATTATGGTAAGAATTGATATTTGATTTCATAAATAAAAAATATGAGTACGTAAGAAGTTAATATATACTGTTGTCAGTTAAATAAAAGGTGGTGGTAAAACGGCAATAAAAATAATAATTTATCTGGGTTCGAAAATTAGAATGCACGAAACGTATGGGGCACTTCTTCACGTGTTTCTGATAGGGCTTGAATTTTTGCACTGACATGTCGACCGGGTATGTTAATATTTCATCAGAAATACCCTAAAATACTGATTAAGCTCTCCTTCAAAATTTTATTATGAATGAAAATTTATGATATATCATAAGTTAGCTTTTTCCTTTTTATTCCCCATATCATGTTTTTTTTTTATTAAAACGATTCACATCAAATTGCTATGCATAAAAATAAAAAGTTGAAATGTGAAACATAATATCGTTTTATTAGCTGAATAATATCGTTTTTGCATCTGCTTTAAATCAATAAAGAAATTCGATTAGTTAGAAGAGGTGAGTTTACTTACATATGTCAAGCATAAGTATGGTATGTTTCGTTACAACTTAATATCTATATTTAATATTTTATTGTTTTGCTTTCTCTTTCTAACAAGTGAGGTGTATTATGTGGTATAAGTTAATTCAAGTGATTAGTTACATTTAGGACTGGGCTATAAATCGATATATCGCGACATATCGATTTAACGCCTATATCGGCAAACCGATACAGCGACTTTCGTTCCAGACGATAAATCAGAAATATGATTTAAGCCGTCGAGTGAAGAAGAACGCAAAACGATATAACGATATAGCGATATAGCGATACACGCAAGGACCTTCTCTTACGTTCCGATGCCAACTCGAGCTGTGGAAGACGATATTCGTTTCGTTATGTTGAGATGGCCTTGACTGATGAGCGGTAGAATCAGAATCAGTTTTGAGAACATATATCGTGATCTCACATGTTCGTTTTCGCACCTCTTGAAATCGTTTCTTGTAGATTATTTTCTATGGGATTAACTTCGTGATCGCCGTCGTAACCTTGTTCTGAACGCAATCTATTGTTGTTGAAAAGAATTTATTGAACTTTTTGTTGATTGTGTTGAACTTTTGTGATTCAACGCTAATTGTTGAAAAGAATTTATAAAGAAGAGTTTCTTCATTAATTAGGTAAGTTTTTTATTTATTTTCTGACAAAACTTTTTTTTCATTTTTAAATGTGAAAATTATCCGAAATCTAATTTAAGGCGCCCATAAGGAATTAAATTACAAAGTAAATAAATTTGTTAGGTTATTTTTTTACTTTCTCTTAATATATTAAAAACCTTTTGGATAAAACTTCTAATAATTTAATGGGCTTCTATTACTGTTTTTAAATTTAAAAATCTTGAGTTGTTTTTATTTTTAGAAAGTTAAAGCAAAACTTATTTTTTGGACATAAGTCAATAAAATTTGTTTGTTCAAAAGAATTTGAAAAGTTTGCGAATTTTATTCATTTCTTTTTTTAATCAATTACTACTTCGTTTTATTAGAGAGTAAAATCATTATTTTTTTTTAATTTTCGTTTTATATTATTAGTTAATTAGCTAAATATATTACCGAATATCACAATTCTTTTGTTTTTATTTTTAAGAATTTAATTAAGAAACTTTGCCTTACTTTGTTTTTCGTTCATAATTCGGTCATTATTTAATTTAATTTAATTATTTATATGAAATAATAATAAAAATAGTGTTTAAGAAGCATTTTTTTTCTAAAATTTATTTAGCTCTTTGTTTTAAGCATACAAATAATTTTTTAACGAACTTATTTTTTAAATTTTGTTCCTATGCTGTTAGGTAAATATATTGAT